TGGCCTCTGTGCTGGCGAGAGCCAACGCTTGCCGAGTGACATGGCTGGAGCGGCTGTCACCGGACTCCTCCCCAGAGTTGCTCCCCAGGGTCACTGCAGTGTCCTCAGCGCCACAGGGCCCGGTGGCCCCACCGTCCATCCAGGATGGGTGCTGCTGACACAGGGGTTCCCCGTGGCTGGGCTCGCCACCCAGGGCATGAAGGCTCACCAGCAGCTTCAGCTTCCTAGCCACACTGTTAGCGTTGATGAGTGTGAAGGTTTTGTAGAAGACCTCACCTTCCTGGCATAGCGGGTCCCCAGGCACATCCTCCCTTGGGCCATCCCCTGGACTGCTGTGGTTGCTCTCCTTGGTTTCCTCCTCATCAGCATTGCCGTCACCCTCCTCTCCGGGTGGTGCATGGGGGTACTCCTGCTCCAGGCATTCGGGGCACTTCGGGCTTGCCATGCTCCTCGCCTGTGTCGGGCATGGACGTCTCTAAGGCTTCTCCACCCCCGGGGCCGTTGCTGTAGGGGACCTGGATTTTGGAGCAGGAGGGGACAGGCATGAGGAGCAGAAAGCAACCAGGCAGCTGTTTCTTACTGTATAGCTGGTTTTGTCTTTGGTCACGTTGATTTATGCTTAGATCTCATCTGCTTTTTCCTTCTTCTCGTGGCTACAATGCTTATTTGAAAGCATGGATTTTTATTTTCTGCACTTTCTTAACTGTTTTTCTGCTTTTTAAAATACAGAACCACCAGGAAACAAAATGCAGATGTTATTAATTACAGAAGCCCTAATGCTCTACCAGGTTTCAAGTCTGGTGGCTGTTTCTCTTGACAGCTAAGGAGCTTATGTGTTGCAATGCCAGGCGAGCAGTAGCTGCTTCTCCCATTCCTGCAGTGCCCAGCAGAGAAAAGAGCTCTATGTTAATGCAGAATCATGCAGTATAAAAAATATGATCTTAATAAAGGTCAGCTGGCCACACAGGGCATTTCCAGAGAAATAAAAATAGCAAGAGCATGATAAACCAAGGACATGTTGGAGCTGTGATGGTGAAGGTGGGAAAGCTGCCCAACAGGCCCCCAGCCTGGCTTGGCAGAGCAGATGCCCTGTGGGCTGCCGACGGCAAGCGAAGCTGCCTCCTGCCCCTAGGCACAGAAGGAGCAGTGCAACCACATTTTTATTCCCCTTTTTTATGCAGAAAAATCAGACCCTGACCACGAGCCAGATGCAGCCAGAAACCAGTGGGTTTGCTGTTTATGGGATGTGCAGCGCCGAGGAGGGGAGGTTAGGCCCGTGACAGTTTTATTTTCACCAGTGCTCTTTGCAATTTTGCGGGTGCATCAGCGGGCTCTGCCCTGCTCTCATGTGCATGTGTAAAATGGCCTGAGGAGATCATGCTGTGTGAGGGGTCTGAAGAGTAACGTGTATCTGCTCCCCATGCTGCAGCGAGGCCGGGGAGGCGTGGGGAGGAGAGCATCTGAGCAATCACTTCTCAGGAAGGCAAAACTGTTCGCAAACCCCAGCAGAGAAAGGGAGAAGCCCCATTCCTCTCGCTGACGAGAGGTGCAGTGAATTCCTCTTTGGATGCTGATTTACTACTATCCCCCAGCACCCTTGTTCAGAGGCTGCTGGATAGTTTGAAGCCAGCTGGCTGAGCTTGAGCAAGCCTGCTGCTGACACAGACAGCACTTGCGAGCGTTGGGAAATGCTAACCCTGCTTTTATTTATGTCCTTGCTCCCGAAGGGGAAAGCTATGGACAGTTGTGTAGGGGCTGTCCAGCGTGCTGCAGCCCATAGCGTTGGGAAAAGCTAACCCTGCTTTTATTTATGTCCTTGTTCCCCAAGGGGAAAGCTATGGACAGTTATGTAGGGGCTGTCCAGCGTGCTGCAGCCC